ATGCTATAGAAATGCTATAGCAAACAGTGTTGCGAAACTAAGTTCCACCATCTAATTTGAAGGCATTCCTCTCGGACTTCACCATTGCACTATATTATAGCTTTCCACCCATATCTCTATGTGGTGTCCGGACCAGGGATAGTGACACGATGGTGTTTTCARAATATATGGATAAACAAATCTCTTTGTTAAAAATCACTCTCTCGAGTCGATTCCCATATCATTCAAGTTGGTGTGTTCTTGATAGTTCATCTCTGAATCTATCACACTTTGACACTTTCGAAGAGTGACCAACCAATCGGGAGTTAAGATTGAAAAACGTAAATGACAAGTCTCCTTGTCGGCAACTTTCTCAAGTCTACCTCTCATGTCATCCAAGTTGACGTGCATTCAATGGCTTATCTCTAAGTCCATGGCACTTTAACACTTTCAAACTGATCAACCCGTCACGAAGTGTGCTTGGTTTTATAAAAACTCGAATGAAACAATGGAACGTCATTTACGAAAACACTTAGCTACTTTCGTTTGGTTTGAAAATCTCACCTTTCCGTCTCACACCCAAACTATAAAAGCTTAGATACTCATAACGGAAAGTAAAGTACAAGAAAAATAAATGACAGAAAGTAAAAACATAAACGTAAATTGCGTAAAATAAATGACAAGAAAATAAATAACGAGAATGTAAATGACGGGAATGTAAATTGCGGAAATTTAATAACGGAATGTAAATGACAATAATCGTAAAGGAACATAAAATAAAGAACAAAAAATAAAAGACGAGAATCTTAAAGAAGAAAAAGATGAAGAACTAAAGAGATTACTATAAATCACCCTAGGAGAGGGTTGATTTTAAAACTAGAGAGTGTTTTGATGGATAAATGGATGATGAAAATGGAACCCCAAGCCCTCCTTTTATACTCAAAGGGGGCACTAAAAGACAAAAAATTAAAATATACTTAAGGGCTAAGCATCCAAAGTTAATTTACAAAGTAACAAAAGAGTAACTAAAAGTACATTAGCCTAACCAAAGTCTAAACTACATATTTTTAACCAAAAACTCACCTTTTACAGCTGTCTTCCACTAGTACAAAAAGACAGCGTCTTAACCATTAAGCACTCGAAAAAGCAACATATTCATCAGATCGACGCTGCACCAATGCTGTAGCATCCTGTTGTTTTCACAAAAACTCCTCATTAGCTTCATATAAGAGTACCAACAAGTCAACCACAATATTTAACTTCATAATAAGAAATGTATAAAGAATTAAATAAAAATGACTCAAAGTGAGAATGAAAGGAAATTATTCTAAGTAATAAGACGTAAAACAAGTGCTTTATATGTTAAATTCTTAACACATATCACACCCCCAAACTTAAACCGTTGCTTGTCCCCAAGCAACCAAAAGACAAACAAAAAGACTCAATTTTCACAAAAATGCATGACCAAGGTATTAAGTGCCTACCCAAAGAGAGTTATAGTAACATGATATTCATAGCCTTTCATAAATCTAAGATGAGCTACTCAAAACCAAGTTTTTGTGTGTGAACTATAGGCTAGCATAACCATTTTCTTTGTTAAGTTAAACATAATCACCATTTTAGGATCAATAGAGCTTATAGGGTTTTCTTTCTTTGGCGTTTCTTTTCTCTCATAGCCTTTTTCCTTATATACTCCACATATAAAATTTTTCAAATTTTTGGGCAATTTGGCCTCTTTTGCTTGGAGTGTGTACATAGTCCCTATGGGACTTTTGTTGTGTCTTTTCATAACATTTTCTAAAACACATAGCCCCTATGGGACTTTTGTTGTGTTTTCCAAACCCTTTTGTGATAAAGAGTCAATTTAGAGCTTTGCTCTTTTGTATCGACTTTTTGTCCTTATGTAAACTCCTCCCCCAAACTTGAATACGACAATGTCCTCATTGGAGATTTGTGGGGTTAATATGAGTATAGAAAAGAAGGCCTATCTCATTTCCTAATATTGATTGTGATCAAAGTGTTTTCCCAAAAAGGATTTTGCTAGTTCTAGAAAAAAACAAATACCTTGATTGAATAACAAGTAATCCACGAAATTATTTGGGCTATGATCTCACGTGCAACATACCTCAACTCAAGTGATCATGCATAAAAATAAGACTAAAACTATAAAAAACTTTTCCCGACTCAAAAATTAAATATGAAGCTCAAGTAAGGTGGTAGAACCTGTCCTACTCCGAAGGAGTAGACTGTGCACTCCGGACAGCCGCGGTTGTGATCTCTGCCTTCAGTTTCCCATTCGTCGTTTTGTACCGATTCAACTTTTTCTACAGCCTCTTGATCTTGTCTGCTGCCCCGTTCTCCAAATCATCTTTTAGCTTTGCAAACCTTTTCTTCATCTTCTTTTCACTTGTCTTCAACCTGTCAGTCAACTCAGCCTGTATGCTCTCTAACTTCTCCACCATCTCAGCTCGTTGCTCTACTAGGTAGTCCATTATACTACCACTTTGTGCCATCAACTCCTCTACAGTCCTGGTCATACCTGGTAGCTCCCTTTTTCTCTCACCTCTCTCTAATAATCTTGAAACAGCCTTTATGTCAATGGTCCACTTCTCCTCACACTCTTTAATCACTAGGTCTTCAGTGTATTGGGGAACACCCGCTTGCATAAGCAGTTTGTTAATCAAGCCTGGGAAAAATAGTTTCCCTTGTCTCCTTCTCGAACAATAAAGTATGGCTTTTTCTATAATTTCTCCCAAATTAAGTGTCTTGCCCATGACCACACAATACAATAAAATGTTTCTCTCAACCGAAATAGAACTGTCATGAGTAGTTAGGTTGAGAGAATGTCTAAGAAAGTTCACCCATACATTAGCATCTGCTGTCAAGTTGGAAGCCCTATAAGTCCGTAACATGTAGTTTCTATAGACATCCCAACCTACCCCTGGCTTCCCAAGTTCCCTACCAATTTCCTCTAACCTGGCATGCGAAGCCGATTGAGACAGAATCTTAAAATCAGTCTCGACCGGGGGTGAAAGGCCCAATAGCTTGTTAATGGCCTTGGCCGAAATACTCACCCGAACACCCCGAACCTTGAGCTTTGTAGTGCTATACACACAAGCTTTTGCATAAAATTCCCTATTCAAAGATAAGTTGAAGGAGTTTTTTACCTCGCACAGTACATGCTAGCCTTGCATGTTGATCACGTCCCGGATAAAACTGAACTCTTCAATGCTTCTCCTATCGAACCCCTTATCCGGTAATACTTTTTTGTTTTTGACCTTTGCAAACATCTGTTGCGCCTCTTCAGAACTAAACCCATCAAAAGGTTGTTGTGGCCTAGGAATGGGTCTGGCTTTTAACATCTTATGTGTGGCTTTCATCCGAGAAGGACCGGTTGTTTCATCAAGCCTTGACGAAGCTTTTCGGGATGACTTTCTGGGCACAAAGGCTGTGTGCCTCAACTAGACAGAAGGTGGAGTGCGTCTTGTTCTCTTTCTAAGAGGCTGACTATCCACAGCCTTTGATTTAGATGCAAATACTCTTCCCAATCCTTTTCTTTTTCTAGTAGGAATTGGTGTCAAATTTCTTATATCGGCCTCTAAATCAACCTCAATGTGTGGGGAGTCAAAAGCTTCTTCCCCAACATGAGGTTCACTGTGCTCATGCTCAACAGGTTCTTCCTCAACAATGTGAGGAATAGAATCAGCCAAAACAGTAGGCGTAGGCATTTAAGTGCAAGGATGATCATACCAAGTTAAAAAATACACTATTGACGGATTTAAAACAGTGGATGGTGAGTGTGTTTGTGCAAAGTTTTCTTCTTCAGATGAATCGGATGTAGTCAATCCCTCGATAGGTAAGTTAGGGCGTGAATTTTGACTTACCTCAACACCCGATTTAGGGCTTGTAATCGCTGACGGCGATAACGATGGTGGAATGGCGGTTTCGACTGCCGTAGGTGGCGGAGATGGAGGAATGACGTCAGAAGATGGTGGAGGTGATGGCGGACGGTCGGCAATAGTCGACAGAGGAGACGGTGGTCGCCTAGCCATTCGTCTAGCACGCGGAGGGGACTCGGCGATCAAGGGCGTGATTATTCGAGGTCTAGGTGGTGATGGCGATGAAGGTGGAGACGATGAGGGGCTGTTAGCAACAAGGTCGATCATTTCTGCTTCCCCTGTTTGTCGCGAAGTGAAGGTGCACGCTCGCTGGCGGTTGCTGCGCCGGATCGGCGGAGGTGGGTCACAAACAGCCGCCCTTTTCATTCGGGCCATTGTCGCACAATGAGGAGAAGAGATTGGAGTATGGTAACAGTCTTAGTGAGAGTGGTTTAATGAGAGTTGCTTTGGTGGTAAATCAAAATGAAAAGGTGATGGTTTGAAGAGACAGCCGGCGGGTGATGTATGGATGAGGCAGCCGGCGATGGTGATTGTCAAAGGTGGTTATGGGGAAGATGAAAGGTCATCTCTCCATTAAGTCCCTTTCTTTTCAAAATGCATTTGACGATTAAGGTAGTGTCAAGGGTAGTCATCAAGAGGTTAAAAATTTAATGTGATGTAGTGGGTTAATGGTGCATGGGAGACAAATTCTGAGAAAAGAGGCTGACAAATCTGTTGTGATGCAGTGTTGATGTCACTTGTACCTCCACTGACTTCTTAAAAGATGTTGTCCATTTTCACATGTGAAAATAAAAATGCTACAACATTGGCAGAGCATTCACTTCTCCTAACAATTCCTTTGAAATTAACCTGCGCAAGAACAAACTCATAAAACATAACTCCTCTAATACATAGATACAAAATGGAAATATATGTACAAACAACCCAGGACTCTGAAAAGTCCAAGTACACCTTCATTTTCTAAGGTATTGCCCAATTTTCATAGCAATGCTTTAGGAATGCTACAGCATCATGAAATACCTTAACTCGTTGTCCATTCACTTCAAACACAGTGTTGTCCTCCGAGTTAATCAGGTCAACCGCTCCATAAGAATAAACTTTATGAATGACAAAAGGCCCAGATCACCTAGACTTGAGCTTTTCCGGGAATAGTTTCAACCTAGAGTTAAACAGGAGGATTTTCTGCCCTCCTTTCAACTCTCGGTGTTGGATTCTGTTATCATGCCAATTCTTTGTCTTTTCTTTATAAAGCTTGGCATTCTCATAAGACATTTGTCTTTGTTCCTCCATTTCACACAGTTGTAACTTTCTTTTCTTTCCGGCTTCGTCCAATGACATATTGTGCTCTTTGATAGCCCAGTATGCTTTATGCTCAAGTTCTAAAGGCAAATGGCAGACTTTTCCATAGACTAGCTTATATGGAGACATACCAATTGGTGTTTTAAAAATAGTTCGGTATGCTCATAAAGCATCATCTAACTTGAATGTCCAGTCCTTTCTATTGGGTTTGACCACTTTTTCCAAAATGCTTTTAATTTTCCTATTAGAGTGCTCTGCCAAACCGTTAGTTTGTGTGTGATAAGCTATGACAATTATGTGGTTAACATTGTATTTTTGAAAAACTCTTTTTAACAAATTGTTCACAAAGTATGTACCCTCGTCACTAAATAGTGCCCTTGGGGTACCGAACCGTGTGAAAATTTGTTTTTGGAGGAACTTAACCATAGTTTTTGCGTCATTTGACACACATGCCATGGCTTCCACCCATTTGGATACGTAGTCAACAGCCACAAGTATGTGTTATCAATTATTTAATGGAGGGAAAGGACCCATGAAGTCTATTCCCCAAACATCAAATAATTCAACTTCAAGTATGTCATTTAATGGCATTTCATTTCTTTTGGAAATGGAGCCACTCCTTTGACATTCCTTGCACCTCTGTGCAAAATTGTGGGAATCTTTAAAAGTGGCTGGCCAATAAAAATCGGACTGTAGAACCTTGGTTGCAGTCCTTTGGCCTCCAAAATGGCCTCCGTATGATGCATGATGGCAATGCTGCAGGATTGCTGCCACTTCAGATTCAGGCACGCATCTTCTTAAAATCTGATCTGCACCAAGTCTAAACAAAAACGGGTCATCCCACAAATAAGATTTAGCATCATGAAAGAATTTTTTCAACATGTGGCCTATGTAATCAGAGGGTTTTATTCCACATGCCAAGAATTTAGCTAAATCCGCAAACCATGGTGTTTTTGGTTGTTCTATCATGAGGATTCTTTCATCTGGAAAAGTATCACTAATGTCTATTCCTCCTATCTCAGGTTCATCCAACCTAGACAAATGGTCTGCCACTTGATTCTCTACTCCCTTTCTATCAAGTATCTCTAAGTCAAATTCTTGCAATAAAAGCACCCATCTTATAAACCTTGGTTTTGCATCTTTCTTTGAGATTAAGTACTTGATGGCTGCGTGATCGGTATGCATAATTACCTTTGTTCCCATCAAGTAGGATCTAAATCTCTCAAAAGAAAAAACTATGGCCAATAATTCTTTCTCAGTTGTGGTGTAAGTAATTTGTGCCTGATTCAAAATCTTACTTGTGTAGTAAATTGAATGAAACACCTTGTCTTTCCTTTGTCCTAACACATCACCTACCGCCCAATCACTCGTGTCACACATGATCTCGAAAGGTTTGTTCCAATCAGGGACAACTACCACTGGTGCGGTAACCAAAGCTTTTTTCAAAGTTTGGAATGCATTTCTACACTCATCATTAAAATTGAATTTTTGGTCATGCTGTAGGAGTAGATAGAGAGGTTTTGAAATATTTGAAAAATCTTTTATGAACCTCCTATAAAATCCGGCATGTCCTAAAAAGCTTCTAATTCCCTTAACAGTGGTAGGTTCGGGTAGTTTTCAATTACTTCAAGCTTTACTTTATCTACCTCAACCCCTCTTTTAGAAATCAAATGTTCAAGAACAATTCCTTCTTTGACCATGAAATGACATTTCTCCCAATTGAGGAGCAAGTCTGTTTCCTCACACCTTTCCAAGCTCTTTTTCAAATTATTTAAACAATTATCAAAAGAAAAATCATCCATAAATACTTCAATGGATTTTTCAAGCATATCCGAAAATATGGACATCATACACCTTTGAATGGTGGCAGGAGCATTACAAAGTCCAAATGGCATTCTTCTAAATGCAAAAGTGCCATAAGGACAAGTAAAGGTGGTTTTCTCTTGATCTTCGGGCGAAATGACTATTTGATTGTACCTTGAATATCCATCTAAGAAACAATAGTACTCTTTGCCGGCTAACCTGTCCAACATTTGGTCAATGAAAGGTAGAGGAAAATGGTCTTTTTGAGTAGCCTTGTTTAGCCTCCTATAGTCCATTCATATTCTCAAACCGGATACAACTCTAGTGGGGATAAGTTCATTTTTGTCATTTGTGATGAATGTGAACCCTCCCTTTTTGGAACACACTGGAGTGGGCTAACCCAAGAACTATTGGCTATCGGGAAAATAATTCCGACATCTAACCATTTTAAAATCTCCTTTTTGACTACCTCTTTCATGACAGGATTCAACCTTCTTTGAGGTTCTATGGAAGTGAAATTTTTATCCTATAAGATGATCTTGTGTTGACAAATAGAGGGACTAATCCCTTTAAGGTCAGCAATGGTCCATCCTAAGGCCTTTTTGTGCAATTTCAACATATCCACAAGTTTCTTTTCTTGATGCAATTCTATGGTAGATGAGATAATGACAGGCAATTTGCCTTCTTCTCCTAGAAAAGCATATTTCAGATGGGATGGGAGTTGCTTTAACTCCAAGTCAGGTGGTGATACAATGGACAGGGTGAAGTCTTTTTGCTCACTATTTTCCAGCAGCTGAAATGCTGCAGCATCCATTGGGACAACATCAGTTCCTATTTCCTCTATTTCCTCAACACTTTCCTCTTCTATTTCCTCATCACACTCTCCTTACAACCTAAGGTTCTTCTGGGTTTCTTCTTCAAAACACATCTCCTCTATTTCAAATATTCTAGAACACTCTTCCAAGTAATCAGGGTACTTCAGAGAGTTGAAGACATTGAATGTGACTTTTTGGTCTTGGAGTCTCATGGTCAACTCTCCTTTTTGGACATCTATCAAAGTTCTTCCGGTGGCTAGAAATGGTCTTCCTAAAATAATAGAAATGTACTTATCCGCCTCAAAGTCTCGAATGATAAAGTCTGCCGGAAATATGAACTTGTCAACTTGCACTAACACATCCTCAATCTTTCCCTTAGGGTATGCTATGGACTTGTTAGCCAATTGGAGTGTGATTGTGGTAGGTCTAGCTTCCCCTATGCCTAAGGTGTTGAAAATAGACAAGGGCATAAGGTTGATACTAGCTCATAAGTCACATAGGGCTTTCCCTATCTCCTTCCCTCCTATTGAACAAGGAATGGTAAAACTCCCTAGATCTTTGAGCTTAAGAGGTATGCTATTGGTCAAAAGTGCACTACATCCTTCGATTAGGGTTACAGTCTCATATTCAGTCAACTTCTTCTTCTTGCTTAGGATGTCCTTCAGAAACTTGGCATAACTAGGCATTTGCTCAATTGCATCAACAAGTGGGATGTTGATGTGCAATTCTTTAAACACATCCAAGAATTGCTTAAAGTGCAGTTCCTCTTTTTGATTTCTCAACCTTTGGGGGTAAGGAACATAAGGAGGGACTGGTTTTATCACATTCTTGCTTGGATGAGTTGAGCAAGATGGGTCTTGAATGCCTTGGGTCTTTGTTGTGCCCTTTGGCGGTTCAGATGAAATGTTAGCATCAAGCTTAGAGGTCTCCAAAACCTCAATCTCTTTTGACTTTTTTAAAGCATTCTCAGGAAAGAGTAATGGAAAGTCTGATCTAGGGGGGACATAAGTTGTGGTCTTGGATGCCTGCTTTTCTAAGTGTCGGACCAGTCTTTCATTGGTAGGAACCAATGCTGTAGCATCAGCTTCTGTCAAATTGTGCGTACTATCATTTTGTACTTTTTCTTTCAACTCCTTCCCACTCCTAAGGGTTACTACTTTCACATGTTTCTTACCTAGGTCTATAGGGACCTCTGTATTACTGGGCAAGGTACCAAGGGCTCGATTGTTTTGGTTAAGCGCAAGTTGACTGACTTGAGTCTCTAAATTCTTGATGGCCGCACTTTGTTGATTAATCAAAGCTTGGTTTTGGGCTTGTGCATGTGTAAAAAGTCCTTTAATTATTGCTTCCAAAGAAGTTGATCCTGTCTGTGGAGGAGGTTTGTTCTGAAAAGGTGGTTGTGAATTCTGAAAACTTTGTTGGTGATTCTGGGAGTTAGAACTGTTTCCATGATGTTGTGGTTGGAAATTAGAAGTTCCTTGTTGTATATGGACTGGTGGGTTGAAACTGGGACTATTCCAAGAAAAGTTCGGATGTTGTCTCCAACTTGCATTGTATGTGTTGGAATAGGGATTAGCTCGGTTATGAACATAGATTACTGATTCAGAATTGTGAGGATAGTGTTCATACGAGTGTTCCCCTCCACAGCACACACATTGCACAGATAGGACTGTTGGGACAGGTGTATTAGCAACTTGCTGTCCTCCCTGACCCGAAGTTAAAATTTTCAATATGTTGGTCATGGAGGTAAGCTGACCTGTTAATGCAGTATATGCATCTACATCATGTATCCCAGCAGTCTTTTTCTGTGATTGAGCACGTGGGTCGGTCCAATGCCCATTGTTTGCCAAAATCTTTTCTAGGATTTCATATCTTTCATTATAGGTCATGGCTGTGAAGGCTCCGCCCGCTGTCGCATCGAACATTTGTTTTGCCATGGGATTTAACCCATTGTAAAACGTCTCAAGTTGAATACAGTACAGAATGCCATGGTGTGGGCATTTCCTCAACAGCTCTTTAAACCTTTCCCACACGTCAGGAACAGCCTCATCGTCCATTTGTTGAAAAAGACAGATTTCGTTCTTGGACTTAGCGTTCCTTGTTGGTGGAAATATTTTCGCAAAAAAATTTCTGCCAAGTTACTCCACGAAGGCACATAACACGGAGTTAAAGAATTAAACCATGCTTTTGCCCGATCCCTCAATGAAAATGGAAATAAAGTAAGTCTGAGAGCGTCATTTGACACTCCCGGGATCAGAAAAGCATCAGTGATTTCCATAAAAGATTTTAAGTGCGAATGTGGGTCCTCCGAAGGTAATCCGGAAAATTGGCCATTCCTTTGCAACATGTGAAACATTATCGGTTTGAGTTCGAAATGGAAGCAGTCATATGTGGTCTAACTATCGTGGAATTTAATTGCTCAAAATCCAGAATAGCATAATCCATGATCCTCTCAATTTTGGAATTTGCCAAATTAATGATGTTCGAAGTTTGTTCTCTTTGTTGTTCATT